CTACACTACACTACCACACATACCGGTCGACACACACTAGCCGACGGTAGGTCGGCGCTGGATATCGCCATACAGCGGAGGAAGGCTATTGCCTCACCAGGAAGAAACATGTACTACACTAACGGGACTAATGAGCTTAGCAGTTGACGCGTCCGGAATCACTAACAATCAATCAAGGCTCAGCTGACGCAATGCCTCAGCATGTCTCGAAAGAAGACGCCGCTCATCAAATATTTATTGATGTGTTGTGTTGAAACAGCAGTTTTTGGATATTCTTGGTGTGTTGAATTATGGTAATAAAGAACTATTGTTATACAAGACTATTTTATTTGTTGTCCCTGAGCAGTGTGCGTGATACTATTTGGAAAGCTATTTTGTTTCGTTCGCATTTTTGCTAGTGCAGACCACAAGTTGATTGTAATTTTCTAAAACCTGCAGCAGTAAGACCAGAAATCGGGAATTCGAAATGCTATCGAATTTGATTTCCGTCAATGCAGATCATTTCAGAATGAACAATGATCACAGACACATCAGAAAGTGGAATAAGTGCCTACGATACAGCCTCTCGTGGATTCTGCATCGTTCTTTTAATTGGACGACGAGTCAATTATCCGAGACTACTGGAACCTGCGTTGTGTACAAGAAGTGTAGGACTCGGCATACGCAGGCTCACAAAGCCGCCGCTTAACAACAAAAAGGATACTTTTCATAAAACCATATTATTATGCATAAAACATCTAAACGGTTTCACATTCTTCAGATTCCGGTATAATCTTTCAACATGAAAATGCATTATTACTACCAACTCCAAAGATGCAGTCGACGATAATTCAGAGTAACGTACCACAACTGAACGACACAAAAATATCCAAAATAAGTAAAAATGATGAGTAATCTCTTCAAAATTTTGGATTGGAGTTCCTTCAATGCATCTTGAACATGCTCTGTGAACGATTTTTAAAAAAAATTGAGATACACAGTGGAACACTGAGTATTCAACGAAGTAATAGACAATTGTCTTTAAAATACTCGTACTGTTATACAAAAAAGATTCACTTTCGAGGAATTTCCATGAAATATTTCTGCGTGATAACTTACTAAATAGGGAAGGTGAATAACAACAACAATTCTAAAGAATGCAAATAATTGCGAGAAAATATTTCAAACATTAAGAAACAATGAAAAGAAGAAGGTAATGTTATAGAAAAATATTTAAAAAAGATAATGAAGATAAAGAAGGAAGACGAAGAAAGAAGAAGAAATACAGATTAAAAATAAAGGAGAAGAAAGAAAGAGAAAAATGGAGAAACGAAGACAGAAAAAAATGCAGGATATGGTAAAGAGCATCACACAAAATCCAAACGAAGAACAAACAACAAAAGCTGAAAATGAGAAGCGAGAGGAAGACGATTGCCAAATAACTGCTACCGATCTCGATTGCCCTATCCGCCGCGCGCAAGCAGCGCTCAAGTGCGGCATGCCAAGTCGCCCGATGCCGCCGCCAAAGAAGAAAAAGGTCGCGGCACGCCGCGGCGCCGGCCTCCACCTCAGCCGCGCGTAGCTGCGCGCTGCCCCCGCGGCCACCGCCACCATTGCATGCTAATGCTCTGCTTTCCTCGTGGACGATGGTAATTATTATAAAATTGTGTGCCTTGCATCACCCAGGGACACGGAGTCGGCAAATTGTCACAGTTCTAACGAGAATGCGTTTACGTAAGGCGTGAGGGGAGGGGGGCGGAGGCGGAGAGGGGGGCAAGGGGAAGGGGAAAAAAGGGCGTCGGCGTCGCGATTTGCTTTCAGGAAGTGGAAGCGGCGCGGCGCTCGTGCACTTGGAAGTCGAGCGGCCGGCGAAATCGTCGTGGTGGCGGTCACCCGCGGCCGTTCGTGGAAGTCGGGAAAGGGCGCTCTCGCGCACCATTATTTATACAGATATCCTCATTAGAAGCTCTCAATGGGCGCCAGCGTTGTGGGAAGCAGATAATACAGATGGTAGCCAAGAGGCCAGGATAAGGAAAATAAAGCGTTGTTACAATTCCGCTACGTACAGTATGCCATATTCATTTAACCGACATTTCTTCGAAATAATTGCACGTGTGAATATTAAAGCAAAGCTTTTAATAGTGGAATGTGATAAATATGTATATTTTGCCTTCTAATTCAATCTTGTCTTGAGACACATTTTATCTCACAAACATATAGCCTGTATTTCAATGCTTATTGTCAATTGAATTTTGACCGTTACATGTTATTCAAAGCACTAGCAAAAACGTGTTCATAAGTTTCGCCCAGATTACAAGCCTTCTCCTCGATAATTGGCAATATTGCAGCTTCGGAAAGCTCGAGAGGAATAGTATCAGAGTTAAAACTATTAATTGTTTAACTGTTACATCTTTAGTGTATTTCATTGTACATACCATAAGGTTACCATACCAGTATCAACCATACTGGCTGATGTCAAAAAATGAAGTTTTCAGATATAGATTTCGCTACCAGTTGAAATGCAGGTATCACACACTTAATAAATGATAAATTATCAAGTAAGCAACATAGACATTTATTAAAAATTATTTCATTATTATTATTATTATTATTATTATTATTATTATTATTATTATTATCAATTCTTTAAAAAAAATAACTGCTAACTCAAAATTCTCTCTTTTCCCGTTGTGCCATTGTACTCGTGAACAATATACTCTATGGTGTAAATCATTTACAGAATTCCTGCAAAAGAATATGAAAAGATCAAGCCTGTAGCTGTCCATCTGACCTATTTAGTGCACTTTCGTAGTTAGTGCACCCTATTAGAGTACACCAGCCATATTTAGTGACTTTTCACGCAGAAATATTTCATGGATATGGGAGAGGGTTTCCTTATGAGTCCTCTAATCAGGCTCCAATTCAGCGAATTTGATGAGAAATGAGTGATAGGGGAATATGTTTTTAATTCTGGTCTCATAGATAAGATTATTGCCAAGTCTGAAGGGTACCAGGGAAAGGATTTGGTTTAGGCTCGAGTAAAAGTTATGGTATAGATAAGTAATGTGCTGTGATAACGGTTCGAGGTAAAATTCCTTACGAGCTGGAGGTTGGAAACGACCCATGGAGCGTTGGCTATTGTTTTAAGGAACTGATTCTGAACTGCTTGAATTTTATTAATATTGGTTTTGGAGGCATTCATCTATATTGAGCAAGCGTACAGTAACAGAGGTCTTATGACTGTTTTGTATATTAATATGGCGGAATTGAATGGTATGGAGCTATTTCTGTGAATTAATGGTTTTACCAGTAGTAATTTTATTTTGGCTTGAGTTGGTTTGTTATATATCTATTGCTTATAGTTTAGTTTGGTGTCTAGTTGAAGGCCGTTGACGGTTTTGCTTAATTTCAACTGAAACTTGAGTTTGAAAGACCTGCTATCTAACATGTGGAGGTATAATTGTATTCTATTTCTAATTAGATTGATAAATGTCTGAAGAGAATTTGGCCACATCATCCGCAAATTATCTGCTCAAATATTATTTAGTTCAGGAAGATCAGGATGTATCATTTGAATAAGGTTGGAGAAAGTGGGGAACCTTGAAAGAGTCCACTGTTTATTGTTCTCGGATTTGAGATATGGTTGTTAACATTTACCGAAAATGTTTTATTGCCAAGAAAACCATTTATTATTGAGAGAATGTAGTGTTGAGTACCAATTTTGATTAGTTTGATTTTAAGAGCATGCCATGTTTAGTCAAATGGCTTCGTGATGTCTATGAAAATCACTAGTGTGTGTGTTTTTGTTTTGTTTTTTGAAAGGCTGTGTATATATGTTCTGTAATACGAAGTAATTGGTGTGTGGATATTTTGTCTGAGAATCCAAATTGTTCCATTGGTATCGATTTGGTTAAATAGCGATGCTTGTTTAGTCTTCTTACCATATTTTTTTTGAAAATAAATGTAGTAGTTTACGAAATTGTTGATTTTTGTGATTTTATATAAGTTTTTTGACAGTGTTAGTGATTCGATTTAGTTCCTTCTTGAGTTCTCTAGATTTAAGTTGGATTCATAGCTTTCTGGTTTTAATTTTTATGATTATTGCGTTTTGAATAAATTGAGGTAATTTACTGTATGTTTTTGTAAGCGTATGGTAACATGGTGGGTTCAGATTTTTTAATAGTATAGATAATTAGTGCATTCATGATTGATTTATCTATTTCCATTGGAGTTTTCAGGATTTTTATTTTAGGAATTGCATTTCTGATAAATGTTTGGTACTTTCCTCAGTTTACAGATTACAGGTATTTGGTGTGTCAGAAATCTATATATCTTTGGCATTGCAAGAGGTTGTTTCTTTGTTTATTTTATTTTTTTTGGGGGGGGAATCTTTCTACACTCACTCGAAGGTTACATATTTGATTTATTGATAGTATGATATCGATTGGTTCGGTTCCGTTAAACCGGCGGTCACTACAGAAATGTGGTTGTCGTCCTTTTAGAGTCTAGTCACTTTTAGAATTGAAGGGTACCGCTGTTTTAAGTCGAGTGCTATTTCAGATTCTGTTATTGATTGATGGAGATTTTTAAAAACCACAGAGAATTTCTTCTTTTCATTTGAATGAACCATTTGAAAGCTCGGTTTTATATTAGGTATTTAACGATGTTACGGAAGTCTGTGGGTGTTTTGGCACTGATCTTGACTGTCATATTTAACGTTTGATATGAAATTGCTTGAAACTTTATGCTTAAGGTACTTAGTGCAATTACTAATAATAGTTATATTAGACATCTATTTTGGAAAATTTTTACTTATTTGGGATAGAGTTTGGTTTGGATGGATCTTCGTTTAGGTACGCAAATCTCGTATCCTCGATTTCGGTATTGACTTTCCCTAATTCACTAAATCTGTTATCGGTAGGCACATTGCATTCAACTTCATTTAATAATTCAGATGGGACACTAAATTTGTTAGGATATACAACCTTTTTTCGTTAGAGTTTGAGAGTTTACCGACTGACCTTTTTCTGGCGAAAGAGGTTGCCGTTGAAGAGTAGGTTTGAGCTCTGGTCACATTTACGGTTGGGTCGCCAACCTCCAGATTCCCTACGGGGTTGGGGTGAGCCAGGGATGTAATCCATATCCTTGCTGGTTGGTAACATTTCCGGGTTTTGATGCACTTTACCTGTAAAGAAGGCGTCGAATCCTCCGTTGTTTAGGGTTAAAAGAGCATTGCTTAGTGCATGCCCTGTTGATGAGTTCATTCCCAACGACATTCACTAATCACACAATATCATTTAAGTTTCACTGCAACTTTGAAGTTTCTAAGTACTCTCTATGGGAAACTAGTTAACTGACAAAATGCAGGAGCTCCGCTTACTAAATCCGCACGGCACGGAGTCGAGCACTAGAATGGCAGAGTGAAGTAGCTGCTTACAAGAATTCTTTTCGCCGAATTTTCAAGTTGAGAACCAAGAATGTACTTCTCTGTAGAACACTGAAGTGTTGCGAGAACTTAAATTCGTTATATATCAGTAGGCTCAATTTTTTTTCTGTTACAATGGTGCTTGGAGTAGCATTAGAAAATTATTGTCAGAAAAACTAAGAATGAATTTTTTACTCGTCATAAAAAGTGTTCCTCGTTTTTTTCTGTCTTTAATTTACTTGCTTTGTGGTTCAAAAAGACTTATACAACAAACAGATGGCTCACTTAAGATAGTCCCCTCGAATACCCCATGAACCGTTGTAGATGTTGAAATGCCTTTGCCACTAAAATAAGCGTGCGCAGGTGGCATATAAGATGTTAGATTATTGTACAGCTTCCAGTACAAATTATCTAAACTGCAGCAATTTTTTAAATGAATACCTATAGAATTTTGCCTATGATAACGAGCGTGAAGAAACGCGTTTAAGCACAATGCCCTGCGATAATAGCAATATTTTAAACAAATGTGCTGGTTTTAGGACCACGCCGACTCTGAATATTCTTCCACCACCATGGGAAAACGCACTGTAAAGCCATTGTATTCTCTTGGTAGGCCCTGCGGGAAAGAAAAGAACTCTTTGATAATATTCTGTTGGGAACTGTAAAATATGACGATTCCGAACAAGCACCAACAACACCTGAAGACCCAATACTTTTCTTTGTTGTATCATGTGATACAATTTCTTTAAAAACGATATATTCCGGTCGAAGATCACCTTACAAAATGTTTTAAATTATTAATAGCCGTTGATGGAGCACATATTAAAGAAATACTTTAAAGAAGTCTAGATTTTTGTATTTTCTTTTGATGCTTTTAAAATATTGATTTAAGTTTTATTTACAGGAAATTTTTGTTCGTGTATTGGTTTTTAGCCTTAAAGGAAGTGAATGTTTTGTTTGTTACTGTACATACTTCTATTATTTTAGAGCATATCCCATTATTCGTTTTCTTCGCTAAGGATTAAACATCGAATGTTTCGCTCACATGTACAATTTTATTCTTAAAATTAGAAACTCGTTGCGTAGATAAGCTGAGAGCATGGAAATCAATGTCTACAAGTCAGAAAGTCTGAGAGCCCTGGTTGTGCATTTTCGTGGCCACCCCGAAATTGGCATTTCAATATTTTTCACCCCGCAGGGCAAACCCAACTGAATGGTCTTACACCGCATTTCCTTGTGGTAGTGGCTGAGTCGGCTTTGTCCTAAATGTCTTTTTCTCAAAACTGTTATGTTACATAAAGCAATTTTAATATGTGTAAACTTGTCTCTTTACGCTCGGTACCTTGGGATGTGCTACAACAACACATTTTTCGCATTATTTGTAACTTACAAACTTCTTGAAAATTCAGAAAGTTCAACGAAAATTAAACCTGATCGATTTAATCAGCGTACTTGTCTCTATTCCAATAATACAAAGAAAACTTTTGGAACAACTTTTGAGAAAATACTTTTAAAAACAATAGATTCACTTCTAGCAAAATTTACGCGGTAACTACTCATATTTTTAAAAATTGTATCTAACCTTATTTAAAGATCGATTTTTTAGAAGAGATTTTATTTAAGAAAAATATTTATCGATAATGTAGTTTTGAAAGTTATTCCTGTGCAATTTTCGAAAATTAAGAAAATTCACCGAAAATGAGACACACGCCATATTTATAAGCGGACTTTTCTCTATTCGAGGGGAAATTAAAGAAACATTTGGAGCTGCGAAAAATTAAGTATTATTTTCGATCCGAAAAAAAATGTAATACAAAAATGTGAGTAATTTATGGAAAAAAATTAAAATGTTGAGGCTTCATGTAAAGTACCACTAAAAGTCAAAATGCGTTTCCAAATCTCAAGACCTTTAGTTCAGCCGGACGGACAGAGACAACCGACATTTTGCCGTCGGTGTCAATTACCCACAAACGAACAAGGTGTTACAGGAAGTAATTGACTACATATAGGTACAAGATTTATCCACTTTATCAAGGCCCCACAATACGAGTTTTTCTGACAAAAAATCGTAACTTTTTGTTTCAACTTTGTCGGACGTTTTAACTCCTGAGGTCCACATTTCCGTAAGTTTAGTGTATGCATTTATCAAGGGAGATGGCGGTGATAATCTTCCTTTGGATGTTGAGATCTGGCGACCACCTACATTTCGGCTTCCAAGGTTTTCCTCATCCAGATGTGTCCCATTAGCAGGTCACCACCACAGCCGGGACAAGCTCTAAGCTCCAGACATGTCTAGTAGTGTAGTGCATGTAAGTATGTGTGTGTAAGAGGCGAGGATAGGACAAAGAAGAGAAAGGGTCCGTGGCCCGTTTATTAGGATACTGCTTCGGAGTTCGCCAGCTATTGATTGGAGAAACTACGGAAAACTACCGATCAGAGCAGCCCAGCTATCTAGCTTGTGTCGAAAATCTTGCCATCGTCGGGACTCGAACAGGTCAGATGCACTTCAGCATTGCCATATTTTCCCTCTACTACGTAAGTTCGTAGAAGGCTAGAAAGTAAAAGGATTGAGGCACTAGAAGAGAAAAAAGATAAGATGGAAAGAAAGAGGAATGGATGAATAAAGTTGTGAATAAAGTAGTTCGAGGTAAAACCATGCCGGCGAAGTGGTAGCAAGGTCTAATATTCCCCGTTTGTGAAAAAGGAGCTAAGAAAGAAGTAAGAAATTTCATATGGCACTACACTTCAAAGAGTTCATCTATTATATTTTTACAAAAATAAGGAAACTAGTGGTGCTACAACAGCACGTAGTTCCTCGCGACATTGTTAATGGCTAAGCACTATCATAATATAACAATTTTTGCCAGTCACTTCAATTGCCATTCGAAAAATTCTTAAACAAACGAAGCGTGAATAAACTGTATTGTTGTTATTCAAATGCTTAAACGAAACGGTTTCCGCCATTGAGTACAGTATATTCACGTTCTACATAAATGTACCAATGTTGCACGATGCATATGTTAGGCGTAAATAAAATAATTAGATTGCATTAACGTGATAGAAAAGACAGCAGTCATTATCGGCTTCTGTTATCAGTGCGGCCATACTACAATAACCAACAGCAAGCAACAATAACCGCTTATTTGAATGCGGTACATATTTTGCCAATTGGCATTGTTGATACTGCTAGCAAGAAAATGAAAATAGAAAAAATGTAATAATTAAATATAATATTTTTATATTCAACAAAATTACTCGGATTTCACACACTTTCATTTTTATTCCCTTATCTTACTAAGCAAAGCGAAATAATCTAATCCCTTTCACATTTTACTCTATTAAAGAATTCAATTTAAAATGGCTTTAAATAATTTCTAGAAGTATAATTTTAAAACTTTTATGACAACAATTTTATGACAATTTTATGAAATTTAAAAACAAGTATGAAATAATATACAAATTCTTTCTTACGTAGAATCCAAGTGCTTCAAAACAGGTCTAAAATTACAGTCACGAAACGCGTGAAATAAGGAGCGGGCGTCTAAGTCGGACGACAAATTACTAAAAGAATGCTCGTATTTTCGTAAAATTCAATACAACATTATTTGAAAATCTGTTTTTGATGAGCACATTTCGTTAAGAAAAAATGTACCTTCCGCTGAAAACAAATTGATTTTTAAATTTTTTCAATTTTTGAAAAATCTTGTTTTTTGACCAATAAAATACCTACACCATTCTTTTAAACGTTCTTTACACTATTCAACAATACATAATTAAAATGAAGTATTTTTTTAAAGTTTTTGAAAATCTCTCCGGGGTTTTATGTAAAGTACCTCACAAAATTAAAATATCGATTTCAAATGCAAGGTTCCGCGACATCAGCCAGATCGATCGGGGAATATCAATTAGGGAGAAAATCGGCGGAACGGTTTACAGGTTTAGTGTTGTTCACAGCCAGAAAAACAGACAGGCAGACAGACGGAGAGACAGACGATTTGCCGTCAATCGACTTTTTGGTATCAAGGACCAAGAAAACATGGATTCTGGCTACATCACGTGTTAGAGGATTTTTTCTAAGTATAGCAACTGGATTTATCCTCAAATTCGTTACCAGGGTCCTATTATAATAGTTTTCCTGCCAAAAAGTCGCGCAGCATAACAGAACTTTCTCTTCTTAAGAAGTTCCTTCTTAAGCGTGAGAAAGTAAAAATAGAGGAAGAAATTGAAAGAGTGACCATACCGAACAGACAAGAGGAGATTACGAAAGAAAGAGGCGTGAGGAAAAAATATTGAAATTCGAAAGCATGTAACCATTATCAAAAGGTTAAATGGGCTGAAAATATGCCGACCATCAACACATGAATAACAAGGGAATTAGTACTACTATTGTAAAACTGGATCTGCTTGCAGATAACAATGCATTTTGCTTGAAACTTTCAATGCAATACGAATGTGGTGTAGTAATTATAGGGTTGTCTAATATTTGTTCTCACACAAGGTCATTTATCCCTGCATGAATCTTTTCTACTCTTCTATACAATTCAGACATGACAATATAGAAAACAATAGTCAACCTTATTAAAGAAAATAAAGATGGTGAAGCTTTTCAATTGAATCCGAAGAAATCAGCAGATAAATTAAAGAGTGAAATCCGTACTTACAAAGAGGCACTACAAACGGTTGAGATATCTAAATTTATGAATCAAATATGTTAATTTCTTCAGTTCGATGATTTTCCTAACCTTACATTATTCATATAGAAATTTCTTGCAAAAATCTGTCTTATAGAAGATAAATGATTTATGATGATGTGTGGTAGATGATACTAATTATTTGGAATATCAATATTGG